CCCATGTGGCCGCCCAGACACCACTGTGACCTCTCAGACACCCCTGTGACCCCCCCAGACACCTCTGTAACCTCCCAGACACCCCTGTGTCCACCAGACACCCCTGTGTCCTCCCAGACACCCCTATGACCCCCCAGACACCCCTGTGACCCCCGCAGACACGCCTGTGACCTCCCAGACACCCCTGTGTCCTCCCAGACACCCCTATGACCCCCCAGACACCCCTGTGACCCCCGCAGACACGCCTGTGACCTCCCAGACACCCCTGTGTCCTCCCAGACACCCCTATGACCCCCCAGACACCCCTGTGACCCCCGCAGACACGCCTGTGACCTCCCAGACACCCCTGTGTCCTCCCAGACACCCCTATGACCCCCCAGACACCCCTGTGACCCCCGCAGACACGCCTGTGACCTCCCAGACACCCCTGTGTCCTCCCAGACACCCCTATGACCCCCCAGACACCCCTGTGACCCCCGCAGACACGCCTGTGACCTCCCAGACACCCCTGTGTCCTCCCAGACACCCCTATGACCCCCCAGACACCCCTGTGACCCCCGCAGACACGCCTGTGACCTCCCAGACACCCCTGTGTCCTCCCAGACACCCCTATGACCCCCCAGACACCCCTGTGACCCCCGCAGACACGCCTGTGACCTCCCAGACACCCCTGTGTCCTCCCAGACACCCCTATGACCCCCCAGACACCCCTGTGACCCCCGCAGACACGCCTGTGACCTCCCAGACACCCCTGTGTCCTCCCAGACACCCCTATGACCCCCCAGACACCCCTGTGACCCCCGCAGACACGCCTGTGACCTCCCAGACACCCCTGTGTCCTCCCAGACACCCCTATGACCCCCCAGACACCCCTGTGACCCCCGCAGACACGCCTGTGACCTCCCAGACACCCCTGTGTCCTCCCAGACACCCCTATGACCCCCCAGACACCCCTGTGACCCCCGCAGACACGCCTGTGACCTCCCAGACACCCCTGTGTCCTCCCAGACACCCCTATGACCCCCCAGACACCCCTGTGACCCCCGCAGACACGCCTGTGACCTCCCAGACACCCCTGTGTCCTCCCAGACACCCCTGTGACCCCCCAGACACCCCCGTGACCCCCCCAGACACCTCTGTAACCTCCCAGACACCCCTGTGTCCACCAGCCACCCCATGTGGCCGCCCAGACACCACTGTGACCTCCCAGACACTACTGTGACCCCCCAGACACCCCTGTGACCCCCCAGACACCCCTGTGACCCCCCAGACACCCCTGTGACCCCCGCAGACACCCCTGTGACCTCCCAGACACCCCTGTGTCCTCCCAGACACCCCTGTGACCCCCCAGACACCCCTGTGACCTCCCAGACACCCCTGTGTCCTCCCAGACACCCCTGGGACCTCCTAGACACCCCTGTGACCCCCCCAGACACCCCATTTGACCTCCCAGACACCACTGTGACCCCCCCAGACACCCTGTGATGTCCCAGTCACCCCCGTGACCCCTCCCATGTCCCTGAGACCCAGACCCCCAGCTGAGGAGGAGCGTGAGGATGTGGTTGTCCCTGAGGAAAGGTGGACAAGTGGAGAAGGACCTCAGGTGACCTGCCTGAGCGTGCTGTGTGGTGCATGACCCAGGATTGCTCT